AGCTAGCTAGCTAGCTATATCTGGGGTCCCCTCAGCAACTGAGACATCAATTCAAAGGCTGTAACTCCCAATACACCCAACGGCCAAACTCGCCGCAGTTTTTTAGCAGCAAACCGTAGAAGACAGACGCAAGAGCTGCTGCTGCTGCTGCAGTTTGTTGCAGTTGCAGCTGCAGCTGCAACTGCAGCAGCAACTGCAGCAGCAACAGAGGTTGGGGTTTTGGTTGCTGCTGCAGCTCCTGCTGCAGCAAAACAAACCAATGACGATGATGGGTGATGCGTGCATTTGCTGCTGTGGCGGTGCTGCAACTGCCCCTGAAACAGCTCCTGTTGCTGCTGCTGCAACAGCTGCTCCTGCTGCAACGGCTGCAGCAGCAGCAGCAACAGCAGCAGCAACAGCAGCGAGTGCAGGCCTGTGAGCTGCGGGTTTGTGGTGGTGTGTTTATGTTTATATTTAATCGAATAGAGAGAAACCCATATCTGCATCCTCCTCCTCCTCAGGTTCTTCTTGCTTAGCTGGTTTGCCTCCTTTCTCTGCAGGTGCACCGCCACCAGCAGCAGCAGGTGCTGCAGCAGCAGCAGCAGGAGCTGCAGCAGCAGCAGCAGAACCTGCGCCAGCAATCAAATCCCTGTAAAGACACACACACCACACAAAACAAATCCTCATNCAGCAGCAGAACCTGCGCCAGCAATCAAATCCCTGTAAAGACACACACACCACACAAAACAAATCCTCATCAACAAACGCATGCAGCCATACATGCAACACTGCATGCATGCACACGCCAATGCATGCATGCGTGCATGCATGTAAGGGTGCATGCATGCAGCCTTGCATGCACGCATGCATGCATGCGTGCAGAACACCCCATTGAGCTCCACCACAGCCAACAGTAGAATGCCTCGCAGCAGCAGTAAGCCTCTGCGTGTAGCAGCAAAGGAAGACAGAGAAGGGCTCGTGCTGCTGCTGTCTCATTGCATGCATTGCTTGAAGAGAGACGAAAGCAAATGCAGAGAAAAGAGAAAAGAAACAGAAAAAAAAAACCAAAAAAGCAGCACAAAGAAAAAACACAGAAAGCTGCTGCAGCCCCGCTAACCCCACAGGCACCGAAAAAGAGGAAAAGAAGCAGCATCAACTACTTTCGTCTGCATGCACCGAGTAAAAACAATGTGATAAAGAGTAAAATATAAAAGTATACAATAAATAAAAAACAAAAACTGAAATAAAAAGAAAGCTGCANGTGATAAAGAGTAAAATATAAAAGTATACAATAAATAAAAAACAAAAACTGAAATAAAAAGAAAGCTGCAGCAGCAGCAGCAGCTGCAGCTTACTCTACTTTGTGGTTCTTGAGGGCACGAGCGAAGAGGCCAGGCATGTAGGGTTCAACGGATCCTCCTGCAGCAGTGACGAGTTTTTGTATATTTTCTGCAGATATTTCCATTCCTTCATCCGAAAGAATTAAACAAGCGTACGTACACAGCAGCTCTTGGCGCTGGTTGTCGCTGAGGGAGGAGGTAGGTACAGCCGCCATTTTCAATACGAAATCCGTGTGAAATATACAAGCTAAATAAACACAGATTCCGCAAATTGCCTCCTCTCTCAATATAAATACCACCAATCATAAACTAAAACACGCTTATATAAACCCTAAACCCCTCACTCTCTGCTCTTCTTACCTGCGGCTGCGGCTGCGGGGCCGTAGCAACAACGCACAACAGCAGCAGCCACCCCACGAGTTTCTCATGCATGCAGCCCCAAGTTAATGTTAAATTTTACATAAAAAATTAAAAAATATCATTGTATTTCTTTTATATTGCCATTTATTTATTTTAAAAGCTCAAACTTCTCCATGCGTGTCGAGGGTTTCCGCTCGGTGCCCCCCTAACCGGATACCCCTACAGAAACTTGCAGCTTTCTGTGTGTGCAGCGATAATGCATATATGGTGGGAAAGCAGTGGAAATATAAATTATAATTGTATTTTAAATATATATCATGAATGTTTTTGATTCATACTCATCACACGTAAACAGTTTATATACACGTCGATTGGTCGCGGTCAGCTGAGTACTCGTGTAAGCCGAAATCAACTGTGGGCTGCAGCAGAACAAATATATTCATGAAACACTAACTATACAAATACAATAATAATATAACCTCCTCCATGTATCCTAAGCACAGCTGTACAGGGGCCTGGGGCTGACGTAAAGGAGAGGAAGCGTGGGTAGATTACTCTGTTACGGGTTGCAGCGCACCATGCTGCACGCCCTGCTGGAATGCACGCATACATGTAGCTATACTCAGGCCTATTTGCTGCGAATGAGTTGAATCTGTATTTATGTATGTATTCTTAAACCTTTTTTTGGCCTTCAGTAACCAACCTCCACGCAATACATGTCAGTACAAACCTCATAGAAACCATGCTACAATCGATGTATGCTGAAGACTGTAAAACACAGAGCACAGTTTTTGACTGTACAGTGTAATTCATAGACTTTAGCTTATACAGCACACACATACCTAGTGGGTATCAGGTACTACTCAGTAGTACGGCGCTGCAAGCATCACTGGGTTGGCAGTTCTTGAGGCGTTACAAATCAAACAATCAACGAGAGCTTCCGTGTTGTAGGATTTTTTTTTTTCATTCAGTAAGCAGGCAGATGTTGTTCTAGGAAGGTGGTTTTGTTGACTAGCTATTTCTTTCTTAGTATACTGCCTGACCTCGGCTCGCTCCACCAACACAAACACTGCAAGGAGAGAAAAACGGCTTTCTTTTTGCTCGCCAAGAGCAAAGATCTTGTACGTGATGCACACGCCGATATACCCAACAACAGGTGAATCCAGCAGCGCGATACTTTTGAAGTTTTCAACATAGTCAGAAAATGTATCAGCAAACAGAGAAGAGTTGGCTGGATACCGCAAGTGCAGGCTGTGTCGCTTGCGATGGTTGCACCGCATTGGTTCAAAAGGTGAGGAGCCAAGCTCACATTGCGTATACGGCGGATTGGAAACAGGCTGCAAGATACAGACAGTCTCGTGATCGTAGAAGCATAGAACTTACATTGTCGCAATATAGACAGCGAATCCCAACGAAGGATCATATAAAGTGGGATGAACTGCATTGTCGTGAGGTCAGGGGAGCAGAGTAGAAGCTGGTGGGTGGTTGCTGAGCTGAAGCTACAAGTACACTGGAGGCTACTAACATGGTTTGCAGCAGTTCATGGTTGTTTCCCTGGGCCACAGCTGGTTGGATACTGAGTGTCATAAACAGCGAATGCATCTGGTGTTAGTTGCAGCGGAGCCAACTTATCCAGCTGAAGCTGCAGGCGCTAGTTAGGGAAACAGAGACAAACGTGTAAGGTTGAAGCTGCGTGAGTAATTTCAGTGTTGAGTTCCCGCATTACTCAGCATCACAAGACATCATGAGGAGTGCTGGAACCTTCCTTGACTCCCTGCTCGCCGTTGCGTTGCTACGGCTTCGTTCAGCCCTGTCTACTCACCGCCCTGTCCTTGGGGGAGCCTGTTGAGGCCTAGAGTGTTGCCGTGTGCCTGGCACTGCCTACCGCACCTCTATTTCTCAAGAACTAGTGACTCTTTGTGAATATGTATTTAAAAATAAGCAAATAAATGAATATTTACATGTATGTGCACCGTTGTCCAAAGGGTACACGAGAAAGTGTTTTATCGACGCAGTTCAAGATAGTACAACTGTATACTGAAATGAATTTGTTGTCTTCACCTTGCCGCTCCTCCAGTTCTCTTCATTGAATCACATATGCCCAAGTAAAAAGGCATGTGTTTCGCCCCGAATAAGGCTTTGTCTCTATACACAAATGCGGTATGCAAAACTCTACACAATATTGAAGGAACAAGCTTCCCCAGTAGAAGTTCAACTTTCCCAGACCAATCCATTCACGAATCTTATTGTTGACTGCATTCTACTTTTTGCGTATGAAAAGGCCACCCGAGGCTCTTAGATTTCAGGAAACCTTGAGCCCTCATATCCCTCATCGATCCCTTTTTACTTCAGAAAAACTTCTATTTCTGTTTGCAGCGTTGGGGTGTTCTTCGAAACCTCTGCAGAGCTTTTCTGTACGGTTTTGCTCTTCTGAAATCTGTCTCGAACATTTTAGAAGCAAAAGGACGTCTGATGAGTTCAACATGAGAAATAAACTCCGTCTGGGGAAGAAGTGAAATGTTAAAGACAGCTCGACAGTGCTGTGAGCTTGGGTACAGGGTTCGAGTTCATGCCTCGTGGTGGCTGTCTGTTGTGTTCCTGTGGATGACTGGGTCTGTAGGGGAAACGCAAGCTAGCCATTCGTGCTCTGATGGTGAGGATGACGCCGAAATACTGCTGTTGAATGGAGGCTTCCTACGCTCAGCTGTCCAGCCTCCGCGGGAATCGAATCTGGAGCGGGCAGGGGAAGGGATGCCTTCAATAGTCGCAGCCACTGGACAGGAAAGGGAAGGAAAATTAGACAGATCTTGGGGAGATGCTGGCAAAGATGAAGAAATGGAAGCTTCTGCCCAGGGACTTTCCGCCCGGGAACCTGTATAACCTTCATTTTCCCGCTGCATAACCAGGGGTGATGGCTCCGGTGGAGTGTTCTCTGCAACAGGCGAGAAGCATGGGATCTCGCCTTCATAGGAACCTTGTGGAGTAGAGGCGGATGGCTCTGTGCCGCCATTGGCGTTTCCCCGCGGAGGCCTTAATGGGGCAGATACTGTCACCTCTTGAACGTTCCTCGCTGAGGATGCTTCCATTGCATTCAGTGTGCTGTGATGCTCGATTATCTCCGATGGGCCTTCATGCGCTGAGCCCTCTACTTCGACTTGAGGCTTTATGTGCCTTTCCACAGACGTCTTGCTCTCTATTGTTGCTGCGGCAGGGTCTGTGGAGGAAACTCCACTTGGGGTCACTCCAGGAGGAGAGCGGGCAGTTGCAACATCATGGCCATTGAGGGAGGCATTAGAGGCAATAAGCGTTTCACCCTGACCAAGGGAAACAAGGAGCTGCTTAGCGCTCGACTGTTCTATGTTTTCATTTCCTGCAGAATCTAGACCGACATCAGATGGACTTTTTGGCTCAGCCTTCAAAGTGTTGCTGCAGAAGGCTTTGTTGCATAGATTAAGTTCTGGCTCTTGCCGTCGCTCGGTGAAATGATCCGCATCACCGCCCTGCTCAAAAGCCTTCGTGGATTCGTTGGGCAAGCTCGCTGAACCCTCTTGCTTCAGAGGAACGGAATGTAAATCGAGCCCGGCCGAACTCGTTTCCCGTACCGGTGGCGCTTCGTTAGCGGTCTCGGTGAAAAGGAGTGGAGCAGAAGAACGGGATGCACCCACTATTTCTTTGGATACTTCTTCTCTCAAAACGCGACTGTTCAAGTCCCCAGCTTCTCCACTTAGATGAAGGCTGAACGCTCGCGAGTTGCGCTCAAGAGAAACTCGCGAGCACTTTAGTGACTCGCTTGCATCCGGTCCTCCAAGACCAGAACCCACTGGTGGTGTCGAAATAGACAGTGCTCTATTTACAGCGTCTGAGGTCTCGCTGAGCTGCTGGGCTTGTCCCTCTAAACGACTGCTAAGGGTACGGAAACTAGAGCTAAACGCCTGCCTTTCCAAGGTAAAGAGACTGCAGCGCTGGAAGTTAGGACGAACACTGTCTACGAACTCCTCTGCTGTTTGAAAACTCTGTGGCTTGTGGCTTTGTTTCTGCAGATCGTTTGCGGCGTTCCACAAATGCTGCTCATGAACATCCTTTCTAGGAGCTCCGCTGTTTAAGTCATCCCAACTGCTCCAGCGAGAATCATCTCCCCTAATTCCGTATCCTTGGATTTGTGGCTGGCCATTCATAAGTAGCCCAGCACGACTGCCTGCATTATACGATAGTTCGCGAGCATTCGGAGCAACGTTTTCACTCCCAAGGAGATCGCGCGCTTCCCGCTCCGCAAAGTCAGGCGGCGGCTCCACAGCCAAATCCATACAACTAAGCGAGAGGGACATCGACGACGCCAGCTTTCTGTGTTGAACGCAGGTAGCTCGTGCGGCTTCATACAGCTTTTGCATTTTCTTTAGACGTTTTTGTGCTTCAGCATTCTTGCGTCGAGCAGACTCAAGCTCCACGACGAGGAGCTTGAATTCCGCATCCTTATTCCTTAGCTGGTCATTGCTGCGTTGAATCTCGTCCGTCAAGCGCGCCACATGGCCCTCGTATTCCTTTTTCAGAGCTACCGTTGAAGTCTGCTCTGAGCTCCCACCTCGCTGGGCAACGGGGGGCGTTCCTACTGGCAGTTGCTTTGCGCCAGTGGAAACCTCTTCATTATTCTTCGCTTCGTTTATATTTGTTGGCTGCATACAATTTGCGCATTCACTAACGCATTCATTCGCCTGTCTTTGTAGCTGCGCCTCTAGCGCCTTCACCTGCATCCTTGCTTGCAAAAGCTGAGAACGGAAGCTTGCGTTTTCCTGCGTCAACATCATGTTCGTTTCATTTTGTTCTATACGCGAATCATATTTCTCAATACGGAGGGCTGTTCTGAGCAGCTCTTTTTCTCTATCATCCAAAAGGCGTTCTCTCTCTGACAATTTCGCTTCACGTTCGACGAGCAGCGCTTCCATGTCCTTTTGTCGGGCCAAACGGGCCTCGAGTTTGCTTCGTGCCTCAAGCATACTGATGGGGTGATCAAGCGTCGTAGTATCTTGTGCTTCCGTTCCTTGCCTTCCTGTTGCCTGGTCTACCGCTTTCTCTAGCTGCCGCATTCGTTTCTCGTATGTGCTTTCTAAGGTGGCAATGCGCTGGTCCAGCATATTTCGGGATTCTTCATTGGCTGCAACTAGTCGTTTTGACGACTCACGCAGTTCGAGGCCTTTTAAATGGGCTTCCAAAAGAAGCATTTTGTTTTGTGCCATTTCACGCCATTCATTCCACCTAGAGGCCTCTACCCCTGAACTGCTGTATCTTGGGGAATCAGACCCAGAAACTGCGGGTTCTAGCTTTTGCTTGCGAGCACTCCTGGGTGGACAAGACGTTCCCTTGACCCTCTTGGCCCGGTGTAGGTTTTCAGTTCTGTCACTCCTGCCAGGAGAGCTAGTTGCCTCATCGCTTGAGGAGCATCGAGTCTTACTTGCACTGGAGGCCCTCCGCTCCGCTGCAGAGACGCCGTCAGTGCTGGGCAAACTCGATGCTTGGGCGGCGCCATGCTGGCTAACAGCATCAATCAAGCGGTCGAGCAAATTCCACTGAAGCCCCGTAGATACACAAGGGGTGAGTGGTCTTTTGAGAAGAGCTTTTGGCAACTGTAAAACAGCCTGGCACTCCTCTTGCGACAGAACATCACTGGTTCGCATGTCGGCCTCGGGGCAAAGTACCCCAGCTGTGTGAACCAAGCCATGGGCCTTAAGCCAGAGAAGAACAAGAGAGAGAGTCGCCTTAAAAGCAAGGGTTTTCCTGGATGCTTGTTGATCCTCTCCGTACTGCTCTAAGCTTGCAGGTTCATAGAAAGCCCCCTCATCCCCTGGGCAATTCAAAAGTTTCCCCGAGAGGAAGTAGCGCACCTGGCACTCGAGCTGCTGCCGCAGTTGCGACTGAGACAAAAAAGATAACAGTCTGCTTGATGTCTCAGCAGCAGAAGCCGTCGATGAAAACTTAATCTCACTGCTCCCTGACAGAGCAGCATTGCTTGGAGCTCGGTCCATCAGGCTCAGCAACAAGTATGTAGCCCTTCACTCGCCTACTGTGTCCGAGCAGCTGCATATAAAGGTGGCGTTTGCACTGGATGTCAGTCACCAAGGCCGTCTATATGTTGAAAGAAAAAAAAACGTGTTAACTCATCTTAACCAAACACAGGTGATACTGCAACGCCTTGAGCTATTTGTCGTCCGCCAGACAGGTGTCAGATGGAGAGCAAACACGGGGCCTCCTGAAGCCTCTCGAAAAGACTAACAGCACTACGACGGAACAAAAAATCATCAACATGCAACAAACCTGAAGATAGAGGTGGAAGAAACATGCTCACAGCTGACTGCCGCCGGATTGGCGGGCTCAAAGCAACGAATTCGGCAGTGGTTCTTCCCTATTGTGCTGACAAAGACGCAAGCGCCATCTTCTTCTGTATTATCCCACCTAGTGGAGCATGAAATGAACACCAGAATACTTCATATGCACGACACAGCTGCCGAGAGCATCAACCGCCGAAAAAGATACTGCGAACGATACTGTCTATAACCATGTAGGCTCGGCCAGATCTGTGGCCCCACAAATCAGGTGCACGATCAAAAGGAGAAGTTTTGCGCGCGTTACTTAATTGGCTTAATATAGTCTACCCCCAAACGCGAAAGAGCTTCTCATATGCTGGCATTAACCTCCAGTGGGAAGGCCCTCGATGAAAGCGCCGCTGCCGTGCCTGAACCCTCAACACAGCCTGCCGTTTACGAGAACTCGGCAACACCCGCCATGCCGAGAAGCATATATTCCTAAAGAAGCTGTGGTAGATTGTTTACAGCGCGAACCAAAGGCATACACTAGCTCGTCTCTCGATTGGTGGTCCACTCACAAGTTATCCCTTTGCATACGGCACTGCCTACTGAATTAACACTGGTGCAAATTCCAGTTGGTTATTTATCCGGAAAAAGCACTTTATCTTTAGCTTTTTCATTAGAGAGGGTAACCGCTCCTTTACGTTTGCAGAACAGGTTTCTTTGTCGTGTGCAGCCCCAGCTCGTTGCCAGCCCCATTGGGTCTGCTGCCTGGAGAATACGGTAGCGTGATATATAGAAAAGCCAGCTTATAAACCAATATATGCTTCAAATGCTTCAGGTAGATACTTATGCTTGTCAGGTGAGACACCGAAGGATACCCTTTACTCCGATCGATCGTAGCGCCATCCAGCACTGAACAGAAATCCTACAGACATGGGTCTCCAGGTGCCTCGAACCACCGGAAGAAGAGCTTATGATGTGACGCAGTAGGCAATAGCTGTGATATATATGTGGAATGCATATGGGCAGGCCAACGTATGAATTGAGACTATGGAACCACTTGCCGCAGAGGAGCTTAGTGTGAGTCAGATAGAGATACGCATGTCTCTATCAAATCAAAGACATTACCGAGCGATAAACTAAAAAGACGGCTTTATAAAGAAACATAGATCCAGAAGCCTGATGTAAACAAAAAAGAGGGTTCGGCGAAGCCGCCGGTGCAGCATAGTCTGTGTTAAGTTGGTACGTGTATTTCTACTTGCGTGCAGGCTGGCCTTAACAGTCATATACAGAGTTACTAGGTGCCTTAAGAGAGGGATTTTCGTGCACGTGTGTGGGCTGCATTGCAGCAGAGGTTACACGAAGCTGTGTTGCAACCCAGGCCGCCGCATCTCGCATTAGCCCGCGGCCCCTATTCAGCTGTGCTCAGGAAGCTTTTTGACTCGAGAAGAAGCCAGATGTTTTTTGGAAACCCGTATCTTGAGTTAGTTTGACTCTATTGCAGCTTACGATGGTTCTGCGATAAGATCGAGAACTGTCGTTGCAGTAGGGGACAGGAAGGTGTACTGCCCTAAGTTTACATAAGAACGTACACTTGACCTTGGTATGCAAACTGAACGCATATGCAAATGCTCGACAAGTGTCTACAGAGATCGCGTATGATGCAAAGAAGGCTTTGTTGTGCCTGTATGTGAGGCTCTCTTGCATCATGAGCTCAAGCGAGGTGCGCTATAATTCATGTCTGGCCGCGTCTCCCGCAACGCCAGGCCGTGAATCGCTGCACTCAGTACTCCTAGAGGCAAGAGATAAAGGCCAATTGCTTTTAGGAAACGCTTACCTTAACTCTTCTTTTCTTCACTACAGCTCACGACGGTCACCAAATAAGGCGGAGGACTCTCGTTACGCTTGGCGCCGCATTGTTCATCGGGGCCGGTACGAGCAACAGACCCCAAACCTGAAAAAACGAAAGTCTTCTTGGCTCTGGCACCAACCCACCCTTACGGGGAATGCTGAGGGCTGACCGCAGCAGGAGATATTAATGAACTGTGGAGGAATCGTACGTATAACTATATGGGCTTTTCTATATACATGAGTGACAGTCAACAATAAACTCGTGGGTGACCCAAATGCGCACTGCATGCGTGCCCGCGCTTGTAGTGGCTGCCGTCGGATCAATGTTTGCACATAGAAATTGCTGAAAAAATTCTATGCGCAACATTAGAACCCATTCTCGCTGCTGGTATCCTAGTTGCTCAGCTTTACGTTACACCGCCCCCAGGTCGTGTGAGAAACTTCCCTTCAGAAGGGCCGGTCTAATGGGAATTTGGGGCCTTAGGCATCATGTGGCCCTCGGAAGCTGATCCACCCACGCCAGTAGATGCACCAGTCTCGGCCAGTATGTAACATGAGTTAGCGCAGAGTTAGCTCAGGAGCCTATCGACAGCTTTGGCATGCTGCGCGTAAG